TATATATATATATATATATATATATATATATATATATATATATATATATATCTCCAAAGGAAAACCATGAATTACCAAACGAAAAATATTTACATATCTACAGGACTACTACATCCAACCAGCCTGTAGAATTTGTATTACATAACTAACAGAGGAGCTGAAACCTCTTAAAAAAAGAACAATATGGCTTCATACCCCAAATCTCTCTCTCAGAAAGTAAATAAAAAATAAATACATTCAATATTTTTCCCAGCCTTCCAAACAAATCTGCAAAAATAAAAGAGAAGGGCTTTTGATATGCTGAAATTAAAAAGCTTTGTCAGTTCTCTCATGGCGTCCAGAAACCCAAAAGGAAAAAAGCCTCCGGCTCAAAACGCATAATCAGGCACAGCAAAAGCAATTTATATCATAAATAGATATTTAAGATCTTCCACAGTGAGACGAGCAGCATGGCTGCCAGCATTGTCCTCTCCAAAAGCAGAGGAAACCAACTTTCTCTTTTCCTCCTGCAATAAAACACTATTTTTCAGTGTTTTAAGAACAAATTAATTGGTCTTTAAAAAAATTATTTTTTAATTATTTATAAGTCATTATGCTTGAAAAAAAAAAATTGAAACCTAGTTAGTTTGATTGAAAACATATAAAGCCCTGAAATTTAATTCCTAAAATCATTTAGGGTTTGACAAGGAGATTAAATTCATAAAGGACTTGACTGAGGAGAAGAAAATTTCAGGTATAAAGTCAAGTTGCAATGGTTAAATTCTGATTTCATAATTAAACTGTTTTTGACTAAAACAAGATATAAAAGAGGTTCCTAAAATCAATTAATTGGAAATTTCATAGGAACAAAATTAATTTGAATATTCATATATATATATGTAAATTAGACATATTTCAAATGATGTATCTAAATAATAATAGTGAAGTGTGAAATTGAAATGAAAGATTTAAAATGAACAAAAGCTAATAAAGTTAAATTGTTACTATAAGTTCACCTAAGGACCAGTTACTTTTGAGGAAAAAGCAATCAACCATAGACTGTACATACGGATAAATATATTTTTATTTTATAATAGTTATATTTATTTATGAAAGCAAGTACACATATTTTTACTGTTTTTTACATTTCTTTTAAAATGCAAAGGTCCATTTTTTATGTTAAATTTAAAAAAAGAAATAAAATATGATACATACATGCATATGGAGTCGCCCGCAAATGGTACTGACTGGAGAAGCAATGTACCCACGCATAAAATGAAAATTGAAATGAAAATGAAAAGAATGGATATTTTTTGGTGGATTTGAAAAAGGTAAACATATATTTTTAAAGTATACGATTAGAAGGTGACTCCTAAAAACGAAAAGTCTAATATAAATAAATGAAAGTAAATAGAAAACCTTTTTTTTTTCTTTTTTACTACTCAGACTTTTACTACTTACTACAATTTTTATAAAAATATTTTTTAAATGAGAATTATTATAATTTAGAAAGATTTTGCAAACTGACTCATTTAACTTACATATTCAGTTGCTAATATTTTACAGGAAAACCTACGATATGATGGATCCTAGAGAATACATGTACAGACGTCGAGAAACTCAGATTGAAAGGCATTACGTTTTAATTTTTATTGCATGTCAATTGTAAAAATATAACATACGAATGAATTATTATAAATTAAAATTTTATGAAATTGACTTGTGTTTTAGATCATTTATTTACGAAATGAAACTGTTAGATAATTTTCTTCGTCCGACTGACAATTCATGTCTTGAAAATACCAAGCTTCATTATCGAGCCATGACAAAAGTGGTATCAAGGCTCAGCCAAATATAGAGCTAGTAGAAAAAAAATGATGATAAAATAACCATTAAGAAAATCATTAATGATCATCAGCAAAATTTAATAGTAATTTTAATATTTGTGATAATAACTATAAAATTATAGTATCTTAGGGCAACTGATATAGATCAAGAGAATAAATATAGGAATAATAGAGACGTAAGAGCCACCAAAACTTACTAATCCCCCTTGTAAGTGTGCATTTTACATTTAAATAAAATGTACCAACCGCTCCACTAAAAAAACCCAAGGGCTTACAAAAAAGTTGTCATCCCTCAAAATAATTTTAATTGATCTGATCAACAGTTCCTACATTAATAATTCCAAGCTTCCTGATCAGGTCATGATAAGAGTGGTATCAAGGCTCGCCCACGTATAGAGCTAGTAGAAAAATGATCATAAAATAGCCTCTAAGAAAATAGTTAATGATCATTAGAAAAATTTAATAATGATTTTAATATTTGTGATAATAATTATAAAATTATAGCATCTTAGGGCAATCGATATCGATCAAGAGAATAAATATAGGAACACTAGAGAGGCAAGAGCTGCAGACCCCCAAAACTTACTAATCCCCCTTTCTTGAAAGTGTGCATTTGACATTTGAATATAAATTATCAACCACTCCACTAAAAAAAAGCCTAAGGGCTTACACAAAAGAAGTTCTCATCCCTCAAAATAGACAAAACTGAGGTATCACAATAAAAAATATTCCAAAAAAATACCTACCCCCCTTTCCTTTTTTCTAGTTATGCTAGCATTCTAATGAAGGCATTTACCCATATCATGACCGTAGTGCTACTGGAACATTACAGAGATAAATATCTAAAGTTGTTCCAAGACAGGTGACCACCCCTATTTTCAGAAGCAGGACCCGTTGAGGCTGAGAATTGATTGTGGCTGATCGAGAAAATCTTTGACTGTTTGTTCTTTCCACATGAGAAGAGAGTGACATTAGCCACACTTACTTTTATGAGAGAAGCTGACGGGTGGGGGCAAGGAAAACTATAGAAAAAGTTTGGAGAACCCAACCACCAGACTCATTGGGAGGATTTTGTGAGGACCTTCCGTGATTGATTCGTTCCTCTTTCAGACAGGAGGCAGATGTATGATCGATTTATCAAGTTGGTGCAAGGTGATCGATCTATGATGTAATATGAGACTGAGTGCACGATGTTGTCCAGTTAAACACCTCAATTTATCTTTAATGCCGAAGAAAAATGCCACCATTCCTATCTGGATTGAAGATATCATCAGACAAAAATTAATTCCTTTGGCATTGAGGATTATTCAATTATGGTGGAGAGTGTGAGGATAGGGATTGATCTGTTGGCTACGGAGAAACGTAGAGATTTTCGAAAGAGTAGAAGAGACAGAGGTTTAGATCTAGGTAAGCCACCCGATTTGTACAATCTGTGCAGTCCAAAATGAAGAATCTTAGATCCAACAGCAGTGGGAGCGGCACTAGCAGCAACATCAATGTTACGACATGTGCCAATTTTGGGCACACAGAAAATAATGTTTCACAGGTACCAAAACCTATTTTTGGTGCACCGGCCAAAATACATTGTGAGATTTTGCCCTACTTTGGGTCAAAGGCCTTTAGTAGATACTAGAGCTAGTGTTCCACCTCCTCAGAGAAGTTTTGGTGGACAGAGACCGGCTAAGCCTTCAGGATCAGTTCCAGCTCTGAGCCACTCCCGCTAGGGTGTGCAGCCTCGGGTCTACGCACTGCACATAACAGGAAGCAAGGAATTCACCTGATGTGATTACATGTATTTCTTTATTTTGATAAATCTATCAAATCTATAGTTAATTTAAGACATGTATACTTTTTTTATTATAGGTTTGCTTTCTATCAAAAATAAATTGGTCTGAACTTTATTTGATATTGAAGCATCACACTCCTTTATTTATAGAGAGATTGTGAGACCTGAAGGATTAGAATCATACAGTACATTTGATATTTTATCAATCATTCTTCCTAATGAGTCTCGCATAATTACTAATGGAAATTGTACTGTGAACTAAGCTTGAAGATGAATTTGGTAGTATTACCATTAACCGAATTCAAAGTTATCATAGTGATGATATGATTCTCTAATCATTTCATAACTTTTGATTACTCGAAAAAGGTATGGTCAAATTCAATATCCTTAAAAAAAATTCAAATTTATGAGAGATAGAGAAGTCTTCTCTATGATGATATCCAGCCTAAAGGTTTTTAAACCATTAGCAAAAGTATATCAATGTTTTCTAGCTCTAGTCAATTATATTATGAAATAACCAAATAAGTTGGAGGATATAATAGTAGTAAGGGAGTACCCCGAAATCTTCTTAGAGGATTTGTTGGGGATGCCTCCAAGAAGAGAGAAAAGTTTCTCTATTGATTTAATATCAAGTGCAAAACTTAAAGAGCTACAAGGACTAAAGAGTCAACTGCATGATTTAGTGGAGAATGGATTTATTAAGCCAAACACTTTCCCTTGAGGAGCTCTAGTGTTTTTTATTAAGAAAGATGGGATATTAAGACTATGTGTTAATTGTCGAGGACTAATCTCTTTGATCAATTAGAAGGGGGCATCTGTATTTTCAAAAATTAATCTACGACCAGATTATCACCAGCTATGAACTGAGGATAATATAGAAAAGACTGCTTTCAGTATCAGATCTGGGCATTATGAGTTTGTGGTGATGCCTTTTGGATTATTAAATGCCCTCGCCTTTTTTATGAATCTTATGAACAAAATATTTAAACAATTTCTGACTAGATTTATAATTTTGATCTATTCCAGTGATGAAATCATCATGCATATCATCTTTGCATGGTTCCGCAAACACTAAAGGAGAACCAATTATATGCCAAGTTATTAAAGAGTGAATTCTGGTTGAGAAGCATACCATTTTTGGGGCATATAATCAGCAGTGAAAGAATTACTGTAGATTAGAATAAAGTTAAAGCGATATCTAATTGTTCCAGACCAACCATTGTTACAAATGTTTGGAGTTTTATAAGTTTGGCAGAGAATTACAAGAGATTTGTTGAGGGGTTCACTCATATTATAATGTCTTTGCACAGATTGACTAAAGCAGTGATGAAATTTGAGTGGACAGGTCGCTATGAGGAAGCATTTCAAAAAATGAAGGCAAATGCATGATGATAGCACCAATATTAACGATGCTCTCTGGGGCAGAGGCTTCCAAATGTTAGGTAATGTGGAGATTTGATCCACCGTAATTTTATCAACTTCCTAATTAAGAATTTCACCTACCGCTCACCAATCTTCCCACCTACTGCTCACCTACCACGTCTCACCTACTGCTCATCTACCTCCCACCTACCGCTCTACTGGTTTCTATAAATAGTCTCTTATGGCTTGTCACAAGCAAGCAAGACCAAACCAAGTCCTCTACGAGAGAAAGAGAGGAAGAGAGAAAGAGGAAGGGAGAGAAAAAAATAGAAATTTTCTTGCAAACGTTGAGACACTTGACAGTGTAATTCCTCAAAGAAATAAAACTCTTTGCAGCTCTATGGACGTAGGTAAATTTGTCGAACCACGTAAATTTGTCGCTCTGGTGTTTTTTTCTGCGTGCAATTTTTCTCGTTCCATTGTTCGTTTTATTGTCGTCCTCTTTCACAATACCAAATTTATAGCGATGCATCTTTAAAAAAAAAGTTGAATTTGTGCTTATACAGCATAGGAAGGTAATTGCTTAAGCCTTTGGACAACCAAAAACTCACGAGAAAAATTATCTACACATGATCTGGAGCTAACAACACTTGTATTTGCCTGAAGATTTGGATGCATTATTTGTATGGATTTACGTATGAAGTATCCACGAATCACCAAAACTTGAAATATATTTTCACACAGGAGCTGAATATAAGGCAAATGTGATGACTTGAGCTTATCAAAGGTTATGATTTATACATGTACTATCATCCAGAGAAACCAAATGTACTTGCAGCCACACTAAGCAGAAAGACAGGTGGTAGTGCTAATTGGATGATTAGACAACAAGAAGAATTAATTAAAGATATGGAGAGTTTGTAATTATCTGTAGCAGTAACAAATGATGAGAGTTTTGTACAGTTGAATCAAATGTTAATTCAGACAACTTTGAAGAACCAAATGTGAGATGCATTGCCACATGATGCATAATTTCAGATAATATTAGACTGAATGTAGTTCAGATATAGAAATATGAGATCAATGAAAAAAAAGTTGTTGAAGTACATGAATAGAATTTGCATGATGTTAATAATTTACATAAGACAATCATACATGAGACACACTATTCATGCTACACATTACATCCACGTAGTAAAAGATGTATCAGAAGCTCAAGGCTTATTTTGGCGACCAAGGTTGAAGCATATTATAGCAGAGTTCGTAGGAAGGTGTCTTACTTGTCAGATGGTAAAAGTTGAGCATAAAAATCTAGTGGATTATTGCAACCGTTGTCTATATCAGAGTAGAAATGGGAGTACATTGCTATGAATTTCGTAATTGGAAAACCTAAATCAAGCCAAGATCGTGATGCTATATGCGTGACTATTGATCATTTGAATAAGTACGCATTTTTTGCCTATCAAACATAGATTTTATGGATAAGCTGACCAAAATTTATGTAATGAAATTATCTGTTACATGGAGTGCCAAAGTCCATTATTGAACATCAAGATGGTAGATTCACTTCCAGATTTTGAAAAAAAAACTCAAGAGGCTTTGGGTACTCAATTTACGTTCAGTACAATTTTCCAGTCAGAGGCAGACGGTCAACAAAAAGAACAATCCAAATCATAGAAGGCCTACTTAGATTTTATGCTTGATGTAGGTGAAAATTGAAACATGCATATAACTTTGATAGAATTTGCCTACAATAATAGCTTCTAGACCACTATTGGTACTGCTTGTTATGAAGCCCTTTTATGGAAGAAAATGCAGGACAACTCTTTGTCGGGCAGAAACTAGTGAAAGAAAAATAATTGTTATTGATTTAATTGATCAAACTACTGAAAAGATCCGGCAAATTTGTGACAGACTGAGAGTGGTTCAAGACAAGCAAAGAGAGTATTATGATGCTAATGACTAGTGAAATTTGAGGTCGAAGAATTTGTTTATCTGAACATTAGTCTGATGAAAGTTGTTAAACGTTGTGGAAAGTCTCTAAAGTTGAGCCCGCGAAATATTGACCCATATGAGATTTTGGAGAAGATATATTATTTGATGAGGCTAGTAAGCCTGTCACAAACCCTATAGACATTCAATTTGATCTGATCTTTAAAGAAAAACCAGAAAGGATCATAGATTATTATGTAAAGAAACTCAAAATTAGAGAAATTTTTTATGTTCGTGTACTGTGAAAGCATGGGATGAGAAAAGATAGTACATAGGAGAACGAATAAAAATTAAGAGAATGTTATCCACAAATTTTCAATCGAGATATGAACTATATTCTTGTACATTAAATTTCGATGGTGATATTTTTTTAGAAGAGTAGATTGTAAATTAAATTAAATAACTGAATTTAAAAAATGATATGACCTATTAACAACATCTGCTTCACAGATGTCGTTCGAGTGACACCCTTGTCGCCCTTAAAAAATTTAATGAGGAATTATCTCGTCTCAACCCTTCACTCCACGCGAGAGAAACAGAGAGCGAGAGGAAGTAAGAGCAAGAAAAGGTCATGCCCTAATTATAAAAGAAGCAGAATAACAAGAAAAGTGCGTCCAAAAATTCATAAAGGGCTTGACTGAAGAAAAACTAATTTCAGATATAATGTTGAATTTCAATAGTTAAATTTTGATTTCTTAATTAAATTGTGTTAGACTAAAAAAAAATGAAAGATGTGGCTAAAATCAATTAATTGGAAATCTCATAGGAGCAAAATTAATTTGAATATTCATATATAGGTAAATTAGATATAATTCAAATGAATGTATCTAAAGAAAAACAATGGAGTGAGAAATTAATATGAAAGAATGATTGAAAATGAACAACAGTAAATTACGTTTAAATTGTTATTATAGGTTTAATAACTTCTAAGAAAAGACAATCAAGTACATTGTACTTGGGTAAATATATTTTTTATTTTGTAATAGTTCTATTTATTTATGAAAGCAATTACACATTTTTACTGTTTCCTGCATTTTTTTTTAATGCAAAGGTTATTTTATTTAATATAAAATATAAGAAAATAAATAAAATATAATATATGCATGCATATGAAGTCATTCAAAAATGGTACTGGCTAGGGTAGCGATGTACTTGTGCAGAAAAAGAAAATAAAAATAGAAATAAAAAATGTCTACCTTTTAGGTGGGTTAGGAAGAGGCAAACGTATTTTAAAGTATACGTTTAGACGATAACTCCCAATAACGAAAAATATAGCATAAATAAATGAAAGTAAATAAAAAAAATTTCTTTATAGTTTCCTTTTACTGCTCACAATATTTTACTACTTATTGCGACTTTTACAAAAATATTTTTAAGATGAGAATTATCATAATTTAGAAATATTTTGTCCATCGAGTCATTTAACTCACATATTCAGTTGATAAAATTTCACAAGAAACCTACTATAGGATAGATGGATCTTAGAGAGTATGTATATAGACATTGAGGGGCTCAGACTGATAAGTATCAAGTTTTAGTTTTTATTTCCTGTCAATTGTAAAAATTTAGCACATGCACGAACTGTTGTAAATTAAATTTTTATGAAATAGAATCTCTTTTGTGTTTTGGATCATTTTATTCATGAAATAGAAACCCTATAGTTTACTTTAGCTCTAACAAAATTTTTTCTAAGCATTTGTTTGGGTTATAACTTATCTTTCAACTATATAAATAAAAGATTTCAGCTGACAAGGCAGCTTAGAGAAATTTCCCTCTTCCTTTATTTGTTTTTTTTTTCTTTGGCTTGCAGAGCCTCTGCCTGAGAGCAGCAAACCGCCCGAAATGTTTGACCTTATGGGACAGAACACCCATCTCTAATCCTAACTAAACATTACATCAAGATATTACAAAAAAATTTTTTTCAAACAAAATGGTGATAATGTGGACATGAACATCCCAGATGAAAGGAATAACTTCCATACGTGGAAACATATTTCTATCTTAGAAATGGATGACCTACTTTTCTAGTATAAATGTCTCCTTATCTAAGCTTGATACCCTCTATAGAAGCCTTAGTAAAATACTAACAGTATCTGAGCGTAAATTAAATTTACTTTTAACTATAAACAACTAATCCACAAAGAAGAAACATGCCAAAAACGATTACCTGAAGAGCTAAAATGCGATCCTCGATTGTATCTTTGATTGTTATGCGAGAAACAGTCACGGGTCGAGTTTGCCCAATTCTATGTGCTCGGTCAATGGCTTGATCTTCAGTGGTTGGATTCCACCAAAGATCAAGAAGAACAACATGGCATGCAGCAACCATATTCAAGCCAAGATTACCTGCTTTGAGTGACATGAGCATAACAGTGACCTGAAAATGCACAAAAGTGGACATTACCTTAAATGAGATGCAGATATAGTATTAAATTGCATATATATGCAGAAATAATTAAGCTAGAATAGTGAGCATAAAACTAAAAGTCAGAATTATTCTTTCACACATCAAACCTCTGGATCGGTGTTGAAGTCCTTCACGGCTCTATCTCTTGCATTCAATGACATTGTTCCATCAAGCCTTCTGTACTGAATAAAAGACTGATTTAATGATATCTCAACTAGATCTAGCATTCCTGTCCACTGAGAAAAAACAATAGCTTTCACTGGGATAAAAGAATTCCAATCATCTTCACTTTCTCGAGCTATATTGGTGAGATAACTTTCACTTGAAAGGGAACTCAGGATATCCACAGCAGCCTTGATTTTGGAAGAAACATAGCCAGAATGCACGATGGAAGATTCCTCACCTCGAGTTGACGAACTTGAGGCAGCATTTTCATCAAGTTCATCACAAATACAGTTTCTCAAAGTAGCTTTAGAGAAAACTAAATCAGTACCGATTGTTTCTTTGCAACCAGCTGCAGGGCACAAATTATCATCACCACTTAAACGGTCAGATACACACTGATAGCAGAAAACATGACTGCACATAGTTACAACAGGATCCTCAGGAGTATCCTGAAAAGGCATAAACATAATAACAGGATTAATGGAAGTGAGCTCAAGATAATTAGGAGAGCACAACCATCTGCACCAAATCAGAAAATTTAGATCTGAGATTGAGAGTGAAATTAGAATAAAATAAACTGAGAAATCTCATGCCTCCATAACAGTAAAGAGAACAATGAATTGACAGAAGCAAAAATGACTAAACACATCTAGCACTTATAATAAAGCTTCAATGAATCTTTATTCATGAAGAGTAAATTAAAAATTTTGTCGGTTAATACTCTGGTTCAAGATTGAAGAGATGGTTACAGGTGTGCATTCCTCGTCAACCATAAATGCTAAGGGAATTTATGTTCCATTGATCAGAGCTACATAAGCTTTATCTCTGAAATACCAATTATTTAATAACCAAGACTACATAGGCTTTATCTTCTTTCCTTCTTCGCCGCTTCTTCTGCTCGTCTAGATCACTTGCATTAACTCCTTTCAATGGAAGTTAACACTTCACTCTTTATATCTCTTGGGTAGAGAGATATTAGGGAAAAAAAAACTAGAGCAGAAAGAAAAAGATGTGGAAAAAAATTGCAATCATGGGAGAGGCCTCTTCGTGTAGGAACAAATCCAAAGTTAAATAAGCTATCATTTCTGGCCATCAAGTCACCTTAAAAGAAAATATTTATACTCAATTATACATAATTTGTCAGGATATGAGCTACTTACCATAAGCAATGGATTTCCATCTCCTTTTTGCCAACTAAACAAATATTCAATTTGCATTAGTTATAGTAGCCTTCTCTCTTTCAGGGTGAGGCGTTTAATGTAGCATCCATATAGCTTTGTAGTGTTGTGGGGGACATTTACATACATCCCATCCAATTCTTATAAATTTACATATCTAACACCTACATTTTACTTTCTATATTTATACCACCCAAATCTTTTGTATCACATCAAAAACGCCATTAATTTAACATTTGAAAAGTGAAATACACATTCTCAAACATAGATAAAACGATGTATATGTAAAAATTAAAGTTTAGGTGTTAGATATGTAAATACATAGAAATTGAGTGGTATGTATGTAAATATCCCAGCTAAAAAAAACATTCAACTAGTAAGCCAGGCAAGCTTTATTCAATAGGGCTTTTAGGGCATATAAAAGGATACTCACATTCATTACAGAGCCCATCCACTCCTAACGAATTACATCAAAGAATATCGATGAAAATAAATTAAATTTGCTTTGGCGGGCCACTCATACAATAAACATAAAGATTAGATGAGGATAACTAGAACAGCTAAATAATTAAGTATAGAATAATTCTCTTCCATTTTTTTATAATAAAAAAGAATACAAAGTAAAGATAGAAGTCTAAATTTATTTAAATATCTCATTTATGAAAAGTGAAATATACATTCTCATACATAAATAAGACGACATATATGTAAAAATCAACTTTTAGCTGTTAGATTTGTAAATACATAGAAATTGAGAGGTATGTATGTAAATATCCCAGCTAAAAAAAACATTCAACTAGCAAGCCAGGCAAGCTTTATTCAATAGGGCTTTCAGGGCATATAAAAAGACACTCACGTTCATTACAGAGCCCATCCACTCCTACCCAATGACATCAAAGCATATCGATGAAATAAAATCGAGTTGGCTTAGGCGGACCACTCGTTCAATAAACATAAAGATTAAATGAGGATAACTAGAACAGCAAAATAATTAAGTAATAGAATAATTCTCTTCCATGCTTTTATAATAAAAAAGAATACGAAGTATAGATAAAAAGTCTAAATTTATTTAAGTATCCCATTTATGAAAAGAAATCAACATTGAAGTTGGTGTGGTTTTAAGGCCTCCAAGTTCAAGATCCCATACCTGCCATGCAAATGGTTAGAGATGCGAGTCATCTCTCACCTTTGGTGTGTCACTTGTGCTACCTTTGCTCTGAAAAGATGTGCCCTCTATATAAATTAAATGGCCTGAGAAGGTCCTAGCTTTTACTACAGTTTTGCTTCATATTTAACAAGAAGGCTACTTCCTCTGCTATTAAATGGGTTATCAAGGGCGACGCTTCTTCAATTTTCTTGAGTTTTTTTGGATGAAGGCTTTGGAAGATGATCATCACTACATGTGCCTCCATCCGCTGCAAATTTATTCCCTTGTTTTGCAAATATATATATATATATAAGGCTCTTACATTTTTTTTATATAAAAAGCCCGAGGGCAAATATATTAATATGAAAAAGATACAGAAATATTATATGAGACAGCCTAAAAGAAAGCTCAACTCATACAATACAACACACACAAAACTCAGATAAAGCAAAGATACATAAAAGTAAAAAAACCAAAAAACCACAAAATAACACAAAAATGCTAGGGACGTCTCACTTTAGTCCTCCTGCCTCTAGTTCTCGGAAGATCGGAAGTTAGTTGGTTAACAAATTTGTAAGGTAGTACCATTGCCCATAGTAATCAAAATATCATCCATCAGATTCCTGAACTCGAGTAGATCTTCATTCTTCTTCTTCCTCCTGGAGGTGTGGACCTGTCATTCCTCATCAGATGAGTCATCAAATGATTGACTCATCTGATCAGTAGATTCCAAAGGTGGTCGGACAGGTGTAGGTCGTTGCGCATCATGATCCCCATGAGCCTGAGTAACATAAACATCCTTCTAGACCTGATGAGACGGTGGTGAAGCAGTAGAAGTATTTCTACCTGTACTATCGACGATACGTTCTATGGCAGGCGGAGTCTGAAGAATCTTCCTCTCCCCCACGATAGGAGGTTCCAAAGACTGGGAAGCTACAACTGGGGACTGAATGGTTGTCATATTGCCTAAGGGGATATTGACGTCTTCCGGGGGATCCTTCTGATGATCAGTAGTGTCAGTAGTGTCAAAAACTTGGTATTGATCGGGATGAGATGGAATCACAGCCTCTAGCGGAGCACTTTGCTTTTGTGGTCTGAGGTGGGGATGTAGATGGTGACATTGAGAACTGGAGTGGACGAACATATGACAGTTCGAACAATACGACGGAAAATGCTCAATCTCTACATTCTGCCAAAATTCATGGTGTTGTGTGTCCAACCAAATTTCCTCAGAAGCGGGTGAAATGATGTCTCTTTCAACAAGTACTCTAGCTTCAGATGGACGGGAAGCTTTAAAAGTATGAATGTCCGTCTTGAGTGGCTTTCCATAAGCTGAGGCAATAGAGTACAATACTTTCTGAGAAAAATAATGAAATTCTGAGAAAAATAATGATTCTGAGAAAAATAATGAAATTTCAAACCAAGGAGGCGAATCTAAACCGGAATGATTGGCGGTTTCATCCGCGGGTCAAAATCCACATATCATTTCAGAATCTTCATTGCTCTGTTATCAATCCAGATTATACTTCTAGCAAATAAGTGCATGTAATCTGTGCATGTAATCTTCTTCATTTTCATTGTTAATTTGAATAAGAACGCGTCTCCCATTTAATAGTCCAATTTTCCACTCTCCAACAAAGTGCATAAGTTCAAATTCTTTGCGAATGAGCTCCATTTTGAGATGGTCATATAGAAATTTCCCAACCAAATTCAGATGACAGGAGGAAGCAAGTTGAATATCATCGTTTTCTGTTAAAAGTATGGCAGACTTTCCATTTTTCCTACAAGGTTTCTTGATGTCCTCCGCCCACTCAAATGAAGGAGGAAAAAACGGCGATTTAGCTGTACCTGAAGCGTGAACACCAGCAAGGGCGGCAGCATACGATATGTCCGAAGCTATTCCAAACGAGGGAGGTGGGGCTGTGGGACAGCAAAGTGACAGTAGAGAAAGAGCAAATGTCGAAAGGGAAGTTGAGCAGTGGGCGATTTGTTCGAGCCAAAGGAAAGCTCGCGCCTTGCGAACAAGGACAGGAGCCGCAGAAAAAGCTCGCGCTTCTCGGGATGACGAAGAATGAGCCGCAAGCCGCAGAAAGGAGCCTGCGCTTCCCGAGATGACGAAAGAACGAGCCGCAGAAGAAGGCTGAGCCCAGGCGTCCTTTAAATGTCGCCCCCGAGCCCAATGCCTTCACTCGAGAGTAGGTGAAACGAGCCGCTACGACGCGACGGCGAAAAGGCGACGAAGACGAAAGTGAATTAGAGAAAAGGATTCACCATTTGCAAATATATATACATATATATATTTTTTTTAAAAAGCCCGAGGGCAAATATATTAAAGAGAAAAAGGTACATATAGGTTATATGAGTGAGACCAAAATAGGCACTCAACCCACACAGTACAACACAAAAAAAGAAAAGTAAAATCCCAAAAAATAGATGGTACATATAAGATCAATCGGGATGACCCAATTTAGTTCTGACTCTGTCTCTAGTTCTCGAAAGGGAATCAGCTAACAAACTGGTTAGGTGCATACCATTGCTTGAAGTAACCAAAGTATTATCCATTAAATTTCTTAGTTCAAGTAGATCTCAATACTTCTTCTTCCTAGAAGTGTAGACCTGTCATTCCTCATCCGAGAATTGTTGCTCATTTAGATGAGGTGGTAGTGCTGTAGTAGAAAGATTGCCAACAGTTATACCCACAACAGGTTCAAGTGTGTGTGGGATATGAGTTGTCGCCTGTACTCCAGATACTTCCTGAAAATGGGGAGCTGCAAGGTTCTCCTAATTGTCAGTCCTTCTAAGTAGGGATTCGTTTGTACTGTTTTCAATAGAGTTTTGCTCCGTAGGTCATCCAGCTTCTCATTAATTGTAGAAAAAGTATTTTTAGAGAGAGGGTCCACAGGGGCAATTAAATTAGACATCAAATCATGTCATGTGGTAGTTTTCTCTCCACGTGGAACAGATGTCCAAAACAATTGGGTTAGATCCATTTTTATTCACTTGATCTTTAGATTTCAAATTAGGATGAAGCTCATGGCATTTGTCAGGGATATGCCTAAACATCTTATAATGAGAACAATAACGAGGTCTATTCTCCAAGACAATTTGTTGTCAATATCCATTA